GGCTGCTGTCTACAGGGGCTGGGGCTGGGCTGGGTGAGGTGGACTTCAAGGGGACGGCCGTGGAGGAAAGTGAAAAACGCAAGAGGCACCGGGTGAATGTTTCCAATAAAGCACACACCCTCAAAAGTTATATGTGCCGGGGCTTCCCAGGTGTTTTCTTCCAAGCCATTCCCAGTTGTAAGAGGCGTCCTACCCGGGCTGCACTGCCCTTTCCTGCTCAGAGCAGTGAGGAGGAGACAGGCGCAGGCCAGAGCTGTGGATTCCAGATTCCACGCTGGACACAGGTCACTTAGGAGGGACCCCAGCCCAAGAGCTACTCCAGGGCCAGAACTGCCCAGTCTCCAATCCCAGGACAGAGTATAATTTTAATAGACAGAGGGGCTCTGAAAATGCTTCAAGGAGGAAGCACATTTTTTAATTAAAAAAGTAAATTTCAAGACAAATTTTTGTTGCACTATCCCATACATAAGCCAAAATCTACCCTCATTCTTAAGAGACTGACCGCAACATAATGCACAGCAAACACATTCTTGTTTGGGTTAAATTTGGAAGGTGATTGAAGAGTTATGCAACCTGTGCAAGATCACAGAGCTAAGAGTGGCAGGGCCTGAGCCACATCTGTCACCATGCCCCAGGGCCATCCCGCAGGGTTTTAGAATCGTGATAAAAGTAAAATCCTGTTGGCAGCACTTCAGAATAACTTTTACAAGCTAAGGTTCAAGAGCAGCTGGAGGGGGTAATGGAATGAGCTGATAAATGAATTTAGTAAAACAAAGGTTCCTCTAAATCCAAAGCAAGCAAACAAAAGCGCATTCAGCATGGTCAAGAAGCCACCGGGTGGCTCTGGATGAGGTGTCTGTCCAGGTGCCAGCCAACACCATTTCTGTTTTGAGCTGCATCAAAGTGAAATCACGTCCTTGTCCTCGTCTCAACAGACTCCAAGAGCACATTCACAGTGCTCTCCGCCAACCTCCGGGAACCCAGCGCTGGTGTTGACTTTAAATATATTTAGAAGCAGCCAGCTTTTCCCTTTTCGTTGTGAGTCTGGGTGGGGGTGAGGGGAGGCTGCGGTACTTATGAACCCACACCAGTTATTTAGGTCGCCATGTGCCAGGACACATTCCTTGGCACAAAATGGAATGCAAACTATATCGCAGGCACGTATCCGGACACGTATGTTCCTATACACATTTGCATACACATGTGTACCTAGACAGAAACACATGGACAAACGCATAGAGAAATCCATGTGCTTTCTAGGTTCTAGAAAATTCAAAGTAAACAGGGGCCTCTCTAAACGTCACACATATTCACATTCAGTACATACTTTTGTCCCTGTTATAAACATTCTCATTAAAAGTTCATAAAAATTCAAAAGGAAAGGGAGTTGGGTACAGGAAGGAAGGGAGAAGACTGGTAGAAGTGTTTTATAATTTGTCAAGTTTTCAAGGGGGACAGCTTTTTAAATAGAAATAAAGCACTGCCATAAAATAATCTGTCTCCCTCCCTCCTCCTCCTTGCTCTCTGTCTGTCTGCTCCCAGACACCGTTTTCTTCCTCGCTCTGGCAAACGTTACGGCCCTCTGAAAACTGCCAAATCCATGGGGTCCACACAGCACCAGCCAAACCCATGTCCCCTCTCTTGAGCCAACAATAAAAACCTCACATGTTCGGCACGGGACTGCAGCACCTTCTCCCAGGCCGTCTCGAAGCCTCCCGTCAACGGCAAGGAGAGTCCGCACGCTTGGAAGCCAGGCCCCTACGGTGCCCACGCCGGCTCTCTCCAGAACAACTGCACATGAAATACACACTGCAGCAAACTAACTACTGCTCGTGCAGTCAACTAACACGGACTGTTAATCATGGCTACTGAAGCCAGAAGTCCCCAAATGCTTTCTAAATACCAGTTGTGAAAGCGTTGTGTGACGGGAATTTCTGGAACGACATGCAGGTGGTGGTCTTATGACACTGTGAATGTCCTATGCTGTGACGTGGCTGTGCGGGACAGGCAGTCCCCAGACAGACTGTCGTGACGCCTCCCCTTCCAGGCTCGTGCTGGAGGGTCCCAGTTGGGTAAGACCTGGCCGGTCCTGTCCTCATAAAGCCACGGGTACCATGTCAGTCAGGGAAGGGACTGGCAGGGGACCCCCAGCTCGCGTCAGACTCCCTGCCCCACAGTGCCCACAGTGTCCTCCCAGTGCCCACAGTGGCTCTGCCCCCTGTGCCTGTCCCCAGTCCTTCACGTTACCACGACCTCTGTCAAATTCCAACACACTCTTACGGGAATTAAACAGTACTTGAATTCATACTTAGATATTAATTATGTGAGCAAACATTTAAATATCCATCCCTTTCCTGGAGTAGGTGCTGTGATTTAAAAGGCAAGCATGATGGGCGCAAGTACATGCGCCAAGGGCCTGGCGCCTGGAACCTTCTCTGTCCCCAACCCATGCTCCATGCTACCGCCTGGAGTTATGACCAACACTGGTCTTCCACAACATCGCCCTTCGTCTTGCTGCTTTTTCTACTACTGATGGTACCGGCATCCACTATTTGTGAACGTCGATGGGGTCTGGGTCAGGTACTCGAGCTACACTTTCCACCCCAATCTTCACAGGATCCACGTGTGGCAGGAATGACTACTGCTGTGTAGGATGTGACACCAGGGCTCTGAGAGGTCCCGAGACACATCTCAGCTCACCCAGCTAGGAAGTGTCAGAGCCAAGCTGCATGTGCATCTGGCGTTCACCCAGAGAGGAATGAATGTCGGGAGAGAAACACCTGCCACCACGATGCCACATGCACCCCGGCTGAGCAGCGCTTCAGACAGCGGCTCCCAATAGCAGGATGCCTCTAGCAGCGCCTGCTTGAGCCTGGCAACGGGACCAGAACCCACATGCTGGAAATCGTTCAAAACACGTGCATGCCAAGGTGCAAAAAGAGCTGTTTGGTCCGTTTAGGCTCTGTCCTTCATGACTCGTTAGGTAACACCAAACAGAGAAGGAAGTACGATTTCTACTCTGGGGGGATAGAGAAGCTTGGGGCCAGTGAAGGGGTTTATTTGTAGCATTTGCTAAACCCTGTGGCGTAAACACGCCCACCCTGGCAGATCCCAAGCCACTGACGCTGTCAACTGGCTCACGAATCTCCTGACACCTCAGCAGTCGGCCCTCGGGCACTGCAGGGGCGGCAGGTCCTGGGCGTTCATCCCTCTTGGCTCTTGTTCTTCACGTTGCTCTGAAAAAGCTCCTTTAATTCACCCATCTATTAATAAATCTGGAGGATGCTTTGGTTTTCTTTTTGTATGCTCTGTTTATTGTTTATGGCAGAGCTGCCTGTCTCTGGGAAGGGTGGGGACAGGATGCCTGTGCAGAGTCAGGGCCTGCAGGCTCCCAGGACACTCATGGCTAAACTAAGTGCACACAGGACCTGGCTGATGCCCACAGAGGAACACATGAGACCTGAAGGAAGCGACACCACACTCACAGTCACCCTATGGGGCTGGTCTGGACATAGGCGGGCCTGTCCTGCAGCAGGGACTCCCCTGCCCAAACGTTAGCCGTGCTCCCGAGTCCTCTTCTGCGCCAGGGTCTCGACCTCGGCCATCCACGTCTGTCCCTGGCAACCTGAGCTCTAGCAAGAATCCTGCTTAGTCATCTCCACGCTCGACATCTGATCGAGCTCCTCATCCCTCATCTGTTACGTCTAAGCCCTGTCCTGCCTTTATTGTTAATCTTGCTGGTCCCATTTAGCAAGGATGCCCCGTGCTTCAAGTTTCCCCTTCGTCATTTTCCATCAACCCGACCCGCTCACTCGCTGTTTGGCTATAAATCCCCAGCCGTCACTGCTGTATTTTAAAGTCTTATGTTTTACATTTAAGTCCATCATCCACGTTAAGTTAATCTTTCTATAAGGTATAAGGCTGTGGTCACTATTCATTTTATCGCCTGTGAGTGCCCAACTGCTCCAGCAACATTTGTTGAAAGGCCGTCTTTCCTCTAGTGACTTGCTCTTGTGCCTTTGTCAAAAACATCAGTTGGGCATATTGGTGTGGGTCTGTTTCTGGGTTCTCTACTCTGTCCACCGATCTGCGTGTCTGTCCTTCCTCCACTACCACATGGTCGAGATGGCTACCTACTAAGTCTCGAAATTAAGTAAACCCATTCCTCCAACTATATTCTTTTTCAAAATTGTTTTGACTAGTGCAGTTCCTTTGCCTTTCTATATAAACTTTGTAATTATCTTGTCCATACCCACAAAAAAAAATCTTGCTGTGATTTTGCCAGGAATTATGGTAAAAATGTCTATCAATTTGGGAATTGACATCTTTACAAGGTTGAGTTTTCCACCCCGTGAACATGTGGTTTCTATTCCAAATCCACTAACTACATTCAAGTTAGGAGTCCAGTGTAGTCAATGCCATTAGGAGGAGGGCTGTATGGGGTGCACGGGATGCCCCTCTTTTTGCTTCCATGGAAATGATAAACATACAGAAGAACATGTGCAAGGCTGTGTATGTGTGAGTCTGCCATACTAGAACATACATCTCATGTAACATTCATATAACATGCAAACTGAAATGCAGCAATACTGTGCACATTTTTTCTTATTTTAAATTTCAGTCCTTCTTGCTGAGAAATATGAGCAGTTTAACTGCTATACACTATGTACAAAGAGAAGCATTTACAGTCCTGAAACCACAAAGGAAACTTTAGGAGAAAGCTGGCCCTTCTATTCCATGACCCACAAACTTGGTTTACTCTAGAGAAAGAGGGAAACCGAAACTCGCTGTCATTGTCACCACCACTGCTGGGTCAGGGGCGCAACCACCCAGTGGGTTTACAGCTGCGTCCCCACATCTTCCCCAGCAAGATCTGTCCCCACCCCAGGCTTCTGAGACGTGACATGAATGGAAGCATTTCTGCATTTCTGTAAAGACGGCGACCACGCAGCGCAGTACCGGGCTGTCTTGCTCCTGTGACGCACGGGCAGGTTTCTTACCTCGTCCTCCTTTGAGCAGGCTGGCCGGGCTGCTCACTTGGGGCTCCGGGGGGCTGAACGGGGGATAACGCGGGGGTGTTTTCACTGGAAAAGAAAGCAGAGCCAGGGGTGGTTGTCACTCTCAGCCCTGCGGCATCAAGCTGCGCACAGATGGTTTTACTTCCTCCTTACCATACGGTGTTTCTGGAGACACGGGAAACGCAGGTGTGGAGCACATGGGCTCCTTGCTATTTAAAATCCTGCCATCGATCATGTCGAGGTCTGGGGGGTACGCAGCCGTCATCGTCTGAAACCGGCACGGGGAGGAGAATATAAGAACAGAGAGTCAAGAGAAGGGCCCTCCCCAGCAGCTGTGTCCCCAGAGAGGCCCCTGGAGCCCAGCCCTCCTCTGGGATGGGACGAGGAGGTCTGGATCCACAGGACAACACCAACCCGCCTCTGCCAGCCACAGAAGACTGGGAAACACCCTCACGGTCAACAGTAAAGGAAGAGGGAAGTGTCTATGGCCCGTCCTTTTAATATAATACTATACAGCTAATAAATGAAGTTGGCAGAGAGTTTGTAATAGCATGGGGAAATGAGCATCACAGCATTAAAATACACAGTAAATTAAACACACAGCATAGAAAAGGGGCTGAGTGGACACATTCCAAATATTAGCACTGGTTTTGTCTGTGAGTCAAGACTGTGAACAACTTTCTTTTCTCATCTATCTGTAAGTTCCAACTTTTCCAACTGGAGAAGAAATTATAACTGAATTTAAAAGGGTTAATCATTTTGGGTACACTGACCTACCTTACTGTGACTCTGATTAGAAGCCTTAACTACATTTCTAGGAAGAGCAAGGAGAAGCTCTTGTCTGTGGCTAATGCCGCCTGGCCACCTCCTGTGAAGGTCTCAGAGTGAGGATCTGGGCCCTGAGCGATGACCTTGAAGGACATCTGTGTTCACTGCTGGCTGCTGCTGTCCGGTTGCACAGCCCCACTAAGATCAGGCCTGTGGGATCCCACCTGGAACCCTCACAGCCCACCTGCATGCTGTGTGCTTCATGCCCGTTCTACAGATCAGAACATAGAGGCTCTCCCTACCACACTACCTGCCTGTGGCAGAGGAACCACGTTTGTGAGACTGGGAGGAGAGGCAGGTGCAGGAGGGTCATGAGCTATATTCAGGGACCAGGCCCAGCCATCACCCATTTGCCTTGAGCTCTAGGAAGGACAGTGAGTTGGGAATGAGCCCAGAGACTGGGACAGGGCCACGGCACGTACCTCTTTGACATCTGCTGGAGAGGGGAAAGGTGCCAGGCTTGGGGCTTGGTCCACAGTGGCCTTTCCCCACCCACATTTGGAGAAGGACAGCTGCCCACCAGCGTCGTTGTCATACTGCCCCAGGCTCAGCTTCCTGAGTCTTCCACCCAGTGGCTCATTAGCCAAGGAGCCTGTTAGGAGAGAGACAGCAGAGTGAGGTGACCCTTAAAGAAATCCCAAATGTCGGACTTCTCAAAGGCACGCCATATTTCACGTGGGTCCATGCTGCTCCAGGCAGAGCTGCGGCTGCTGCAGAGAGATGCGAAACCAGGGCCTTCTCAGACTCCCGGGGTGGGCGAGGCAGCCGCCCTGGCAGCCGGCAGCTCCCGCGGGCCGTGTGCTCCCTTCAGAACGGGCTTCTGGGGGACAGCACAAGCATCAGGGCTCGCCTGATGCTGGAAAAAGACAGAGCTGGGTAGGCCCGACGGTGACCATGCCTGGAGGGAGCCCCACGGTGTGCGTGTTGGCCCCAGTGCTGGGCGGACCCAGCACTCTGATGGCCACACACACCTGCAGCAACTCCAGGCAGAATGTGGCCCTAAGGTGATAGTTGGAACCTTAGCAAGGAGAAATTGTAGAGGGGAAAAAAGACTATTTCAAGCACCAATAATAAACATTCGTCATCACAAACTTTCCCTGCCAGGAATGCCAAAGGCTTATTCCTGAGACACAGTCCCAGGGCTCCCTCGCCCGACCAAATCTAATTCTCATTATGTTGGAGGGGAACGGGGGTCAGAGACTGGAACCTATAATTTTTTTAAACCTCTTCCAAGTTATCCCCCTCTCCCTCACTCTCCCCTCTCCTCTCCTTTCTTTTTTGATAGAGATGAGGTCTCATTCTATCATGCAGGGTGGAGTACAGCGGTACAATCATAGCTCACAGCAACCTCAAACTCCTGGGCTCAAGTGATACTTTTGCCTCAGCCTCCAGAGTCTCTGGTACTACAGGCATGTGCCACAATGACCAGCTTATTTCTTTAAATGTTTTGTAGAGATGGGGGTTCGCTATGTTGCCCACGCTGGTATCGAACTCCTGGCCTCACGCAATCTTCCTGCCTCAGCCTCCCAAAGTGCCGGGATTATAGACATTAGCCACCTCACCCAGCTCCAAGTGATTTTTATGATTGGGTATTTAGGAAAAACCTGCTGCCAGCTATTAAAAGAATAATGTTTTTACTGATGATGTAGTCTGAAAATTAGACTCCATAATGATTTTCCCTATGGTCTAAACAACAAATCCCTAATCTCTATAAGCGTGAGGTTCACAGTGATGTTTTCCTGAAAGGCAGGATTTGAATCACCAATGCGTGTGGCAGACACAGGGCTCACTTTTGAACGGCCCCTCCAAGGGGGACTGTATTGTGGTAGCCATATTTGCTGCAGTGCTGAGCCCCACGGGGAAGCCGCGGCCCACCTCCCTGTCTCTCCTCCCACATCCAGACTCTTCCAAAGCCCAGGAGAATGCAGCAGTTGGCGTGGCACAAGGAAGGTATCAGAGACAGGGACAGGGCATCCAGCTGCCTGTCTGCCTGGGCGGGGCTCTTGAGGGTCCTTGTGTCCAACCACAGCACCGACTCCACTGACCGACCCTCCAGCTTCTGGAAGGGAGTTGGCTCCCGGGTCACAGCCAGACTGGGCACTCCCCTCCCTGTCCCACGGGATGCCCACTCAGCGCCACACAGCCATGACCGAACGAGCGAGATCCAAACCTAGGTCTCTGCAAGCTTCATTCCACCTCCTACTGCTCTCCTCCCGCTGTTCCCAGCAGCCCCTCTGCAACGCCAGGACTCTGGGACGTGGGGTCTGCCGTGCTTCCCTCACCCGCCGTGGGACGTCCCCCACCCGTCTCTCTATGGGTACAGCAAGAGCAGCGCCTGGTTTCTTTTCTCCCCCAAACAGGGATGAGGATGAAATAAAGTGAAATGGTGTGCCTGGGAGTCCCATGCCTTGTGGCCCCTTGTCCTCACGCTCATCACCCTGCAGGGACGGGCAGGGAGGGGACCACGCTCACCGCAGCAAGAGCCACGGGTCTGCCCGACGTGCACTTGCAGGCACTCTAGGACCTCGTACGACCTGGTACCTCGCTGAGATGTGGGATGTTGTCCTCTAAGTAATCCAGGTGGCAGGTGACAGCCGCAAGTGTTACTGATGGAAAGGAAGTGCTGTGTGACTAGGCAAGTGACTGAGAGCCTGATCCCCTCCCTGGAAAAGGGAGCCACACTGCCAGCATCAGGGAAAGTAATTCCGTCCCAGAGGACCATCTGCGGCCTGTGCCGGGGCTCTCCTGCCCTTTGCTGACACCTACAGTCCACTCACAGCCTAGAAATTCAGAGGTCACTTCTGGATGTGATTTGGGAAGAAGATTACTTCTATTCAACATGCAAGATAATTTGTGGTGTTTTGTCTGAAATGCCACACTGACATTACGACAACACATAGTGTTGCACGATGCACACAGAAAAGATGGATATGCTAATAACCCTGATTTAAGCATTATAAATTGCAAACGTGTGTGGAAATACCACACTGTGCCCCATAAATATGTACAATTATTATGTGTCAATTAAAAATAATAACAACAAAGAAAACTGTGGAAACTGTGTCAGCTGTTCCCTTTGACCTGGGGAAGGGAACCTGAAAGCAAACATTCATTTGCTCTGACCTCAGCCCATGCGGGCCACAGGTGCACAGCTAAAACCAACTTGCTTCAGAAACTGAGGCCCCACGAGTGCTAGTTTAAATCCAGCAGGGCCATGCAGGTGCAGTGGAAGGCACTTCTATGTAAAGTATGTCTAGATGGGAACAGGACCCAAAAAGGAATTTACAGAATGGAAGCACGAGTCTCAGGGCGGAGGAGGCGTGGACGCTTCCTACACTGTAGCATTCTGGTTTCAGAGCAGCTAGGGGACAGGGCCTGAGCATCAGCTGTTGCGGGGCTGACAGTGGGCTGCAGCCCGGGCTCTTCCCACAGAGGTGGCTCTGAGACACACGTCCCGTGAGCTGGCCCCAGCAATGTCCCAGCTGAACACACGGATTTGCAATAGTTTCTCGATTTCCTCTCTCTCTTACTCACAGATTACAATAAAAATAGGCTTTGCTTCATTCAAATATATCTCCTGGAAAATGTTCTCACTATCAAACGCCACCCCCAGTGCCTACGCTGCACCTGGTGAGGCAGAGCGGTGTGTTTCTCCGTCACGATGGGTCCGTACTTCTCAACAGCCCGCCACTGACACAATCAGGAGGAGGCCGCTTGCACACCTGAGGGAACACAGCACAGGCAGCAACCGAGGTCTAAGGCCTAAGAGCAGCTCCACAAGCACGGAAAGAATGGAAGCCAAGGAACCTGCAAAGATGCCACCCACAGCCCAGCTCCCAGGTCTGCACAGAAAGCGTCACTTCAGCCCTGCAGGGTGCTGCTTACATCCTCAAAGGAAAAAGACACAAGCACACAAGGTCATCAAGGCACAGGCCTCTCTGGGGAGACAGAGACCCTGCCTTCCTTTTAGACTATAAACCTTGGAAATGTGAAGACTGAAACACCAGGAAAAACAAGGCAAAATAAAACAGGCTTTAAGATGCAGCACAAGACCATGATGTGCCAGGACGCACCTACGTCCGCCCAGGAGGTAGAAAGACAAGCAGAAAGGAGACCACGTCTTGTCCAGCAGCAGTGACAGTCCGTGCCTGGGCAGTGCTCGCCTAGAGAAAATTCTGCCCATCGTCACTCAATGAAGGTGGCCCAGCACGTCACTCTGCAGACGAAGAAAATGGGGGTCTCATTTCTAGGAACTCACCCTACGCCACACGGCAAGTCAGCAGAGAGCAAGGATTTGTCACCACACGTACCTGACTTTAAAACCCACAACTGGAAACCCTATTCCTCAGGTTCCCTCTTCCTCGCCCTCCTCTGCCTTCCCGTCCCTTCCCTCCGTTCCCACGAGGGCCCTGGGCGGCGCTGCCCACTCACACAGCCCGTGGGGGCTGCCGGAGCGTAGTAATTAACAGATGACAAAGGAGACACTGGTATCAGGAAGGCCGCCCATGCCCCAGCAAGACGACTCTTCCTGCTGGGCACGTCCCAATGCAGCAGCCAACAAAGGCTTCTTGGACCCTTCTGTCTCTCGTGTGAATTTGAGAAGTAACGATGTATTCCTTTCAGTCTTAGGAAATCTGCCTCAAAGGAGGAGTGGGCCGAGAACCTGGAGGGGCGTCTTTCTAGAGGGTCTGAGCACAGAGCAGTCCAGAGGAAGGAAGGGTGGCGTTTTCACGTCCTTCCTGTCCAAGAACCACTGCCGGGGTGGTCAGAGGAGAAGTCAGAGGAAGACTTGCCACAGCGTGACCGACGCAGCCTGGGCCGGCGGGACCTGCCCTGCAGGCCCTTGCTCAGAGGCCAGCCTGGGACCGCCGCCGGGGGTGGATGCTGTGCCCAGGAGACAGTCCCCAAGCCGTCCTGGGGATGAAGCGAGGAGGAGGAGGATGCATCAAAGGCTGGTTTCGAGGATCCAACTGACAAGCAGCAAAAACTAGTGCTCAGCAGGGCACGTGCACGGCACATGCTGAACGCTGAAACCAGCAACAATCTGAGAAGGACTAGAGATTTAGTCATTAAAAAGCAAGGTTAAAGGAACTTGAAGTGGGTTAATACACTGAAACATTAAGTGACAAAAGGCAGTGTGCAAAAGTGCCCGTGTAGTATAATTTCCTTTTGATTTAAAAAACTAAGAAAATATATCAAAATATTTATAAGAGGTTCTCTCTGGGTTGTGGAATTCTAGGAACTATTCATGTTTTATTCATATTTTTTATAAACGTCTCTATCTTACAATGTCTTCACTAATATATATTACTTTTTAAAATTAGAAAAACAAGACACAAAAGCTTCTTTTATTTTGAAGTTCTCTGTGCTGCCTATATTGAATTTCCCCAAATCCTTCTCTAATTTTGCATTAGTGTTAGTTCCTATGTTTACCTCCACAAACTCCGTTTGATCAATAACCTTTCTGATCTCTGAAAAGTCTCTCGTGTCTGATGGTCATGTACACAGACTATAACATGGGAGGTGATTGTTCTACACCACACACACAACACACATATTCTAACACACACGCTCACACTTACACACAGTCTC